AACTATATATTATGACTGATTTTAATGGACACGTGTAATCCATTTTGATGTAAGAAAGCATGTCAGTCTCATAAATAGCAAACATTAACAACAGCAACTCTCTAAATACTGGATTCTTTAAGTAAAAGGAGATAATGAAAAATGGTGAATGCATGAGAAGCAAAATACTAGAGGGAAGCCATTTTTATTTAGCCATTTTTATTAGCCATTTTTATTTGCCTTACTGCTGTTGTATTAGTAATAAAATAAACTACTCTTTATCCCTAAAATGAATCTTAATAAAAAATTAAGAAAATTAAAACTGTATCGTATTTTAAATAACTAATAAGGGCAATGGGATAGTTCATGTGTTCGAAACATATATATATAATAGCTTCCGAAAGCTAAACCTGAAATGCAAATTAGCAGAAGCGTAGTTGAATTTGTGTGGCTGAAAATCACGGCAGATACAGACAGCAGTAAGAAAATATCGTATGTTATAGCCAATCATAACTGTCTGAACATACACCAATTAGACAGCTGTTGAACACGCAGCATTCTGAAGGGCATATCTTTTACGATTTTTGCCGAATATTCCTTGAATGTTCCAAACATATTCCGGTTCGGAATGTTCTGATCTGTTGGAAAGAATATACACCAAATATTACAGATATATTTAATGGTATTATTCTTATGTATTGTAAAAAGTCTTACACTTGAAAAGTGTACCAAGCTTTGAAAAAGAGTGAGTTGTGATGTTTCCTTGTGCACAGGCTCAAAGAAAATCTTGAGTTATAATATATAATTTTATAATGAAGGTTTCGAAGGTAAATAACGAAAGCAAATGAAGATAAATAATGAATGAGGAGTATGAAGGTAAATATGACATGAATATTTACTTGTAGCCTAAATTTGTGGAACATTCCTAGAACATGTATGAACTTTCCTTTGGATATTTCTGTGAGAACCGGTGGACATTAAGATATACAATGTCAATTCCAATAAATGACGGAAGATTGTGAAATTTATGTGTAACATTGTTATATTCCTTTCGGAATATCTCAAAAATTTTCATATTTTTTTCCGGGTAGGAGGAATATTTAAACTTCATAGTGCCTGCTTGAAATTATGCGAGAACTGCCAATTATGTAAGCAAGAACTGCCACTAACAGATACGAAAGAAACAATTACATGCAAGTCCACTACGATATTCTTTTCATGAGAGAACTGCTTCACGATAACGAGGAAATCTATTCAAATTTCTGTCCGGGAAGGAATAATCGTCAAAATGGGCAGGGAACAGTACAATTGTCGTAAAGTATCATCAGATAAATGTCGGAGAAGTACTAGATGGAGCTAGATCACCAGTCGTGCGCAAGAAAATCAGCCTTCTCGAAGAAGGGAAGATAGACACTTTCCAACAAAGGGAAAAATTTGAAAAGAAGGGAAAATTGAAAGATCTTTATTGTTTCCTGTTGCAACTCAGGAATTATCTTTGGAAAAGGAAAACCAGGAGAAACCGTCGTTCTGAAAATATAATTTCGGACAGACAGCGCGTTTCGAAAACTGAAACATCTGACAGTTTGTTTCCAATAAGTCAAGAAAATAAAGGAATTAAAATTAGGCAGGCTTAAATTACAGACACATATCAGGCTAAATAGAATTTATAATTCCATTCATTAAACAAATGACAAAGGATTGGGTTGAAATATGGAAAGAATATTTCTTTTTTTTGGGGGGTGAAAGGTGTTTTGGAAATCTTAACGTTAAATTTCAATAGAAAAATATTTTTTTCTGTATTGACGGCAACGGATGGTGCAACTGTGACTTATCTTATTCAAACAATGGACCTAGTTTTTAACTGTAAATTATTTTTAAAAATTTGCTTAAAATATATTTTTATTATTTTTGAAAATTTCTGTGTGTTTATAGTAGCATATATCTAATACAATTAATTTTAGACTAATATTTAGTGATTAATTATATACAAGTTTTTCTGGAATTTTTAAAAATGAAATTATAACAACATTTGCTTAAGTAACCTAATGAACTTAAGTAACCTTTTTTGTAAACTAGCACATTTTACGAAACTGCAGGGAAACTTTATAATATAAAAGCACCTTTTCGTGATCTCCGGGAAGGAGGTTAAGGGAATCATTTCTCTCTCGCTTATTCTTCGTAAAATTCGACCATCTGCCAATAATTGTGCAAAGTATAATGATAACTCATAAAAAGCTATTCCCTTTCCCAAGAAAAACATATTTAGGTGCCTAGCTAAGTAGAGTTTTATCTTATGCCTTTACCTCCTGTGTTTTCATCACTTAAAATGTAAAAAAAATAATAATTTATTTCTGCATGTAGGTTGCATTTAAAAAAATGTAGTGTTAAATCGTAGATAAAAATATAATTTTTTGCGCACTACTGGCTTGTAAACGTCTCTTTAACAATAACAGGGAGCGAGAGGACAGCATTTACACGTTACTAAAATACATCATGATTCACTCAAAGTAAATACTTATAGATAGCTCAAAGGTTAATTGTATATATAATTAAGCTTTGAATTATATATATAATTAACCTTTATATATATAATTAACCTATAGATTTTCTTTAAAACATGGGGAGTATCGCAGATCAGCAAACTCACTCCTAAAGCGAAATTTAAGTTACAGTTAATTCTGAAACTCACTAAACTGACAAACTCTTACGGCTCAGACGAGAATGTTTATATATGATTATACAGCACCACTCGAAAGTTAGCGAAAAATCGCTTCCTAGCGCTTCGAAAATGCGTTTCCCCGAAAAATTCCTGAAAGTCGCCAGGCTGATGAAAATTCACCAACTATCACCAAACTGGCGACAAAAATTGTTGGCGCCAAACCTCATTAGAAACTTTTCTTCCTATATATCAGCTGCTGATTGTACTGTATTTTACACTGCAAATATATATTTAAAATTTTTTAAAAATTAGCGTAATATATTAAATAAATGCTTTAAAGCAGATTTAGTGGCCTCAGATCCGATTAAACAAAAATACATAGTAAAATTATTACGTAAAATACACCGAATAAATAAACAATTAAAAACCAAAATGCAATCAAAATGAACACAAATACTTACATATATTTATATCATACCGAAACACCGTATTTTTGTCAGCGTAATACACAGAAAAATGAAGAGAATCAAGATATAATATGTGACAAGTAAATCAATAAAACTGAACTTAAACTACTTTGAGTTAGGTAACATCTCATTACATAAAAGATTGTGCATGCTTAACACATATTTATATCCGCTTTAAAATACTAGCATAAGTAAAATGGATGCCCATAAGTAAAATATTACTAGAAGAAAATTTTCCTGACTATTTGATCTATCTGAACAATTATTAAATCAGTATGGCTCTTTCTTATGCAGTATTCTAACTGTTATCAACAAATAGGTATAGCATTTGAATTCATACTGATATTAAAATTAATTTCCTAATTTAAAACAATCATTAAATATTTAATGATGCTAAATTACTAGTAACATTCATATTAAAAAAACTTAATAACCTAAAAATTACAAGATGTAAAATTTCAGTAACTGCTATGCGATTTGATGTATAGTTTAATAAATATATTACATTAAATAAATAAAATAGCTTAACACATTGCAGTCGAGACACGTAAAATTACGTTTTTCGAAAACTGTGCATAAAGGGCGAATCACGTAGTAATACGTTTTTTATGGACTGGTGGTAGAACGCGGGAAAAATAGCTAATACGAGTTACTGTATAGTGGTAACTGCACAAGAGAAGGGTCAAAAGTACCCTTTGGTTAACTCTCTAAAATTTACAATGCGTCAACTCGACGCTAACAAACTACGCCTCTGCTTGGGCGGTAATTGAAAATCAGATAAAAAAATTAGAAGTTTGAAGATATTAACAAGCGATAGAACTAAACTACAGGGTTCAGCGAGATCCCTTTTCTTAAATCTTCCAAACTAGTGGCAGCAAGTAAATGCAACTAAGCCACATGAATCAGCGATAAGCAAACGTTTCAACAGCAGAGGTGGTGGCTGTAGCCTAACTCTCCTCTCTCCTATCGAAATTTGGTTTTTAAACCATTTTTCCATCGTAGAAATTTACATTCCTTCACGCGCGCTACAAAATTTAAATACTCTGGCACTGACAATTAGGGGTCTGAAGGCTTATAGGAAAGAACAGCAACCAAAATAAAATATGGTTATTTAAAATAAACATAAATCCCTACAAGCTTATAAATTAATACATCATAAATCTTAAGAATCGTGTATTTCCGTTAAGTGTTGTTATATGCACGTTAATTCTGTAACTAAAAAGATTTAAGTGACTGATACATTACATGTTTTGTTATAACGTTTCTCATTTCTTACGCCAGTGTTGTTATTACTTCATTGTATCTCCTAACCGCCGTTTAATATTTATTATTTGCAGTTAATGTTTATTTAATAGCAAGATGAGTAGTTAATTTCAAGCCCTGTAGCATGCAAAGAAAAGTAATATTTAAGTGCATGGGTTTTATTCTCGTTGCTTGCGAATAGCGAATGAATACGAGTAGGAAACGAAATGAGACTGAAGATGCATTCAGATCTAACTCTACAAAGAGAAACAGATCTTGACTAACTTATTTACCACGCATGTTTATTGTCTAACAATTGCGTGCAATTTTATTCGTATACATTCGTTTTCGCAAGAGGCGAGGATGTAGCCCTTCAATGTCTAATGTGCGAATTAACCTGTCTCTTGAATTCCGTAACATATCCTTTCCCACCCTGCCTGCAGCCCATCATCTGATGATTCAGACGACAGAAGCCGAGCCTATCCTCCAACCCCTCCCCCTCGCCGATTTCTGAGCAGGGGAAGTTCCTTCCGCCTGCCTTGTTTCACGAAGCAGGACAGCCATGAGAAACCTATAATCGTACCCACGTTGTTGCAACAGGATTCTCCTCAGAGTGATAAAAAGCTCATGAGTCGCATTGCTGCTTCCCTCAGGTTTGCGCCCATACCTGCTCTGGCGGTAGCTGGACTTACGCCGGATGGTGACATCAGACACTCTCCTCAAATGGATAGAGTAAATCATGTACCTCTTCACAGAGCTTCCTATCACGGTAAGTAAACATTTACTTATATATAACTGTCGGAAAAAACTTCGCCTCTTTGCGTTTACCTAGCATTTCTAGTATGCAGAGTGTCCCGTCAAAAGTAAATCGATATTTCTCTCTTGGAGTGCATAAAAATTGGCCAAAGAACCATATTTCTTCAACTCTACTTTTTGGAAACATGTCATGTCGTACCTGATGTTCTGAAATAAGCTCTGGTGTAACTTATATGTTATGTATATAGAATATTGTATGTATATATACGTTACATACACTCCATGCTGTACTGACTGACTTCCTCGATTTTATACCCATATCGGTACTGTGTGGCATATAATTCCAGCATGCTGAATCACCAGCAAATTTCAGATTTTATGTACGTGACATAAGGATTACTTAGACTGCTATATAGACGGGACGTAGAAGTTCGGCTGTGTGGCCGCCATGATCGCTAGACCGCGCATCTTTGGATTTCTTTTGGTTAGACTATCTAAAGAGATTGGTATATTGAACCTCACATACTACTGAAGGAAACTTATTGCTGGTGTTCATGTTGCTTTCAGTTTTATTTATATTAAGCATGTGGATCCTGTTTTAGTTTGTCACGCTATAGGCGCGATATGTGTGGTGATCCTTCTGCACATCACGTGCAGACGAAAAGTCATATACTTGCAGCAATGTTAGCATATCCAGTAAAGCTTATTTTCCGAATATCAGATGTGCTTTTCTGAGTACTGGATGTTTTCTTTCGTATTTTTCTCAGAAGTTGTGGATCCGCAGAGGTATGATTCTGGAATCTTTCTTTTTTTACGTGCTCCTTGCGAGGAATCTTGTCCTACTCAGTTTAAGGCGGTCTTGATGAGGACCTTGTATATACCATAATAGAACTATTTGTGTAACCGATCTTTAATCGTTAATGACCACACTGGAAGTCAGAAGGAAGAACATTGCCGAGTCTAACCCATCTTACTGTTCTCGTGTATCACTTGGATTAATTCTATATCAGATATGCAAGCTAAAGAAATTTATAAGCTTAAGCAATAGAACAACTAGCTATCACAGCAAACGACTATCCGTAAACAGTTATAGTTAATCCTGCTGAAAAATTAATGAAATTTTCGAAAAAAAATTATTTTAACTGTTTAAACGCTATAATTCTTTGGTGGTAATATTCGTTAATTTTTCTCAATGTTAAAAATGTCATTCCACAATTTCTGGCGTTTATTATATGTGAAATTTAATTAACATTAATAAGCAGTGAAAATTGATTGATAATGTAATCATAATTATCTATAATATTTTGCTTTCTGGAAAACATTTTGTCAACACTATTTTTGTTAAAACTCGGGTTCCTTAGAATCAAAGTACTTGCTTGATACCGTGCAGTAACATCATGAAAGATTTTGAAATTTTCGTCACTGCGAAAAATTATGCAGACAGAAACTTATAGTAATGGCAAGGAGTTTAGCTATATTATAAATTAGGTAGGAACTTCTTAACCGAATTCCCCGATTATTCTGTTTTCCTCTGCTTTCTTTATGGAGAATGAGATCGCGAAATAACGAAGCTTTTCTTTTATCTTGGAGGCAACATCACCTCACATTTTGCAAGCAGGCAAATGAACTGAGCTCAGTGTTCATCAAAGTTTATTGTTTCACAGATTCGACAAGCTCATACTGAAGCATATATATTCAACTTACGTATTCAAATGTAAGAATAAGCTGTTTCTTGAATATCAGACTGTGCTGTTTCTTTCAGAGTATCTCCGCCTAATAACCACTGTTATTTTTTTTTCCTTTGAGAGCATACAGACTCCCGGTGCACCACATATGTACAGCACGGGGCTTCCAGAAGTAAGTCAACTAAAACATTAAAAGTTACATGCATAAATAAACATTAAACGTTAATGCATAAATAAAGCGAACAAAAGCAGAGAACAGCAGTCTGGACTTCACAAAAACAGATTAGTTCACTGGCCAAGTCACTCTGAACATTTCAAATCGTCTGTAAGCATAATCTAGGGCCATCAAATGTAGGGCACAAGAAAATCAAATGTTCCACATCCTGATGAACTCTTTTTGAACATTCACATAAATTGTTTGATCGTAGATTGAAACGAAACAGGTAACTTGCAAATTTACCGTGACCAGATAAAAACTGAGACACTTTAAAATTTAATGAGAGGAAAGACTCGGAATTCAGTCTATGGTAAATAGAAGGAAGGAACTTTTTGGTGACTTCAGCAATTACAAGATGAAATGTATTCCTCATTCCACATAGCTAAAACGTTTTTTAATGAAAGGACTTCCAATAACTCTTTGGAATGCTAATGTTGATATCAATGGATAAATTTAAGGCATCTTTAGCTAAGAACCACTTCTATTTGAGAATGAAAATTTTATACACCTTTTCGTCATAGCACTATCCAGAAAATAGTTATTTTTAGTGATTACCTCTTGGCGCTTTGTTAAATTTGGCTCTAATATGTGATATCGTTGCTCTTTTTATCTGCTTATTTGTCCCCTGAAGAAAAAATAAAATAAACATCTTGCTTGTTATAACTAGGCCTCTATTATTAATGCTTTAAATTCGTATAGATTTTTCTGAAAACTTATTTGAAAAATCATCCAACTGCTCTTTCGTTCCATGGAGCTAGTAAAATATTAGGCTGAAAATCGGGTGTTGTAATCATACTTTTAAGGAATTTTCCTATTGTAATTTGCCACTGCATAGCTGATTATTACAATTAGCATTAAAATAATTCAGTAAGAAACATAAACGAAATTAATTATTTTGAAATATTTCTTCATAAGTTATATGTTTTTTATCGACAATTCCCGAAAATCAGAGAGAATTAGATGGGATTGGTAAATATGTAGCAGTCGAAATATTAAAAATCCGCCATGTGTTTAAATCACGACGGGTAGCGTACAATATATGAAAGGCTCTTTACTGTGTAGAAGAACTATCCAGCTTTTCGTAGGTATTTTGGATCAAAAGATAAATATAAGGGTTTTTTAAAATCTAAATTTAAGTTTGCAATTTTTAAAAGACATGTGTTTGATGGTCAGAATCCTACAGAAATTATCACATCTGTCAGACATGCTACAAAAACACAGTGTAAGCACTTTAAGAGTAACTCCTTAGTCATTGAAACATTCAATGCTGTTAATAATTTAAAAATTTGAGAAGGCTGTTATGCTTTCAAATAAATTCTCTGTTAAAATCGAACGAATCTGAAGGATTTACGATTTTAAAACAAGAACAAGTTTCATAAATTACCACGAAAAATGTTATTGAAATGCCTCTGGTGTCTTTACAGAATAGATTAGTGCAGCAAAATAGTTATGAAATGCAATCATTGCCATAAAATTTTACGCGCAAAAAACGAATTCTCGGATCGTAACAAAATTTAGCATAAAGGTACATGTTAGGCAGGTATGCAAATGATTAGAGATGTGGGGTAATTATACACTGCATAATGTCACCAGATGGCATTAAACTTCGTTCTCCATGTCGCTTAAAAAATGTACCCACAGTGGCATTTTTCCTGTACTTAACTGTTGCAGAGGGATGCTGCTGAACTGTCATCGAAGGAATTATGATCAAATGTCAGCCTTCGAAAGGCAAACAGTTATTGTGGATGATGGTCACCTAGGCCATTCTATGAGAAAGTGTCAGGACTAGTGCACGAGGAATTGTTGAACAGATTCAAAAGTTTCTAACGCTATTTTGTATGTAATAAATACGTCTTAAATTTAAGAAATAGTTTGATGATGAATATAAAACATATTTCTGCATGTATGCGTATAGATTTACTCAGATGACAGTATAATTGGGTGAATCTTCGGATTATGGTAACTTAGCGATTTTTTGGCGAAAATTTGGTGACCAACCCTGTTACAGCAACCTGCTAGTTTTTTTTTTTTTTTTTTTTTTTTTTTACTAAACATTTTTTCCAACAATCTGCTAGCCGAATTATGCTTATGCTAGAACTTTTATAGAACAAAAGTGCTTACTCATGAGGAAGATTAGGTGCGAAATTGGGAGAAAGTGCAGAATCGTCCACTGCTTCGCACGTTTTTAAGAATTGCACATACGCGGCATCCATGTACACGTCGACCTATTTTCACTTTAAAAAATCTCAGAATTGCACAAAAATGGCATTGCGCACACTCTTTACTTTATCCATGTACACATCGACCTATTTTCACTTAAAAAGTCAAAGAAAATTGACAAAAATCCAATTCTTCTTACTCTTGTAAAAACCGCCAAACAAATAAGTGGGTGATTCTGCACTTTAGCAGCGAAATTGTTTCTAAGTGCTTATTAGCTAAAATCACGATCGGAATTTTCCGGAAAATGTCACATGACATGTCTCATGATCTCTCATTTCTCTGAGACAAAATAATCTGTGATTCGAACTGTGTACTTCTCAGATTATTGCTTAAGTCCTACCTAGTAACCTTTATCGCCTTACCAAAATGTCGCCAAACTACCTGTTACCATATTCCAAAAATTAGCCTATAATTGTTTAAACTCAATAAATTCGCTATACTTCTACGGAAATAACTGACACTAATTCCTAATGATCCTCTGATTCCGGCATGCTTCTTTACTTATATAAATTCATTTACTTAATAAGATGCATTCCGATGACTCGGAGATCACGTGACTTATGTATAGCTACTGTAAACAAAAAAGGCCCTTTCTCCTCTTCCTCTCTTGCGGAATGTATACATCTCATTGCAGCATTGATAAACAGTTTAATTGCATTTAGTCGTATCTTTGTAATTTTACTAATTAAGATACCAAATCCTTAAGATATTGCTGCGTGCGTACGGGTTCGTTATGAAATGAATGCAGAAGTCCGATGAAAAATGAACAGAAATTTATTATTATCACAAAAAAATGCTTAAATTTTCTCAAATTATCATGCAGTATTACAATATCTCACAGTAGTTATCTTTTAACTACTCAAATGTCCAATAGAACGTAATTCAAAACAGCTAAAGAAAGCTAATCCGCGAATTCGCTACAATCAACAAGAGCAGTTTTCTAAACAACAACAAACTAAGCAACTACTACAAACTGAGATGTTTTCCTCCTTTTATAAGATTTTAAAATCACGCGCTAGAATTCTCTAGTACTTTCTCGAAATCAAAAAGACATTTATTTATTTATTTAATGTTTAAATGCACGTGCTCTTGTATTTTCAATTTTCCGGCTTAGCTTTCTTTTAATATTCGTCACGCGCTGCACTGCGCGAGAAATAAAACCATTTAATTTATAATTGAACTAACATTAGCTTTTTAAATATCAAATTCGTAACACTATAAAGACTCTAATTTAAAATGTATAAGATTATATTTTATATATCACATAATAAACTGAAAATGTGGGAAAAAAAATTCAAATGTATTTTTTAAGAATTTTTTAATGTAAAATATTAAACCGTTAAAATTTTCTGCAAAACATATAATATAGTGAAATCTGTGATGTTGTAAGTGCGCTAGGAGACGTTTGGATTCTTTACCGGAATATTCTTGGTCCAAATTGCGAAGAAGCTGAGCAGATTCCTATTGTCATCTATAAACTGTTCCAAGATTTTTCTTTCTTGGCTATGCTGAATCTGTGGCTTTAATAAAAAGTGTAGGTACTTTTCCGTTTTCCGGCGCAAGCGATAAAGTCGCCAATAATGGTACAACCGATGCCAAACGGAATATTCTCGCTGGTAACCTTTTACGCCTCATTTTCAAAACAAGTCGCAGCTTTTTCCTATCAGATTGATTGTTTCTTTCAATACTGGCACATAATTTTATAGAATTTTTATCAGATAGTTCAGTTTTATGTCTAAGGCCATTTTCGGTAATTAAATCAATTAGGATGCAATCATAGCGCTTACCCGAAGCCGAAAATATAGAAAAGGTAAGTCGAGGGTTAAATTCATTAATTCTAATGAGAATGAATTAGCGAAGTAAAGCACTGCATTTTTACATAATTTCTGAGTAAGCTATTCGTGCGAATTGAAATATTTCTTGCATTTAAACTTGTGTTCCAAATTAAGATTTCACTTGAAATTAAGGTAGAATGTAGATAATTACTGAGAGCATTAGATTTTTGTACAGTAGTTACGTGAGATGAGATCGCTTGGGGGTGGTCACGTGATATGAACCGGGCGAATCAGGGATGGTTGAACCATGAAGCATAGTAAATTTTTAAATTAATGTCTTTTTATAAATTTATTGTCTTTATTTATTGGCTTTTTATAAAATTTAAGCGATATTAAAATGTTTATGCCTTCAAAAAAAGAATTCTTAGAACTAACATTTTTTTAATATTTTTTATGTGTATACTGTATGTTGTCCCCAATAAAGTCTGCTTGGCGAGATTTGCGCCGGCGAAACGGAAAAGTACCAAAGTGTATTTAGATTGGTAGGATTAATCCTAATCACAGTACAGTGTAAAAATATTTCAGGCAGCATTTCCGTAAAAGGATTGTGACCTGGGCGTCCAATTTTTGTTAAATCGGATTTAACTTATATTAATATATATTATGTATATTATGTAATCGTTATACACTTTTCAATTTAACTGGAATTTTCTTCTTATAGGCCATAGTAAGTATGTACCAGAAATGAATGGCATTGAAGTACCCAACTATATGCAGAGGGCAAATCCAGATGAGAAGATTATTGGTAGTGCAGAAAATTTAGTTGGAAGGGTAAGCTTACGTCAGTGCTTTCCTTTTCATTACTGCACTTTTTTAAATGAATCCTATTTCAGATATGAAGAGGAAAAAGAAAACTACAATTATAGCTGGAAAAATAATTTTGGAACTTTTCTTCTGCATCGGCCTTGGCGAGAATATTGATTTGATGTGTTGCATTCGTGAGAAACACACATTTATGGTTGCCAAACTACGGGTGTCCGCCGATAACATCGCGGCAAAAACATCGCGGTTGAAAACGTCGCGGAGAAAACAACACAAAGCGAAAACGTCGTGCTACAAAACATCGTGGGAGAAAATATCGCAAAGAGAAAACATCGCAGTCCTAAAACATCGTGGTACAAAACATCGTCGTCGAAAATAAAGTGGTTCAAAAACTTCGCAGTTTAAAAACATCGTCGTCGATAATATCGTGATAAAAAATAAAGTATCTACAAATCATCGCATGAGATGATAACATCGCAGACATACTTTTTTCAGGTTTTAATAACTGTAAATGGAAATAGGGTTCCCATAAAGATTTGTAAGCGCAAGATGTAAAGAAGGATAATTTTTATTTTCACAATTTTTTATTTACTAATAACTTTTTGCTGAAAAAGTAAGAAGGAAACTTAAGCATAGAAAATTAAATGCAACTTATAGATTATACTTTTCACGTAAAATTACTAATAAAACCTTTATAAAAAAAATTTTTTATTTATGGCCTTTAACTATGTCGGTTTAAAATTCTATTAAGTGCTATAAGTTGCATTAATTTTCTATGCTTAATTTTCCTTCTTATTTTCTCAGCAAAACTTTATTAGTTTAATAAAAATATGAAAGTAAAAATTATCCTTTCTTTCCATCTGCGCTCACAAATCATTATGAGAATATCCATTTACAGTTATTAAAGCCTGAAAAAGCATGTCTGCGATGTTTATCGTCATGCGATGATTTGTAGAAATAATTTTTTTTTACCGCGATATTTTCGACGACGATGTTTTTAAACTCCGAATTTTTGAACGCTTTTTTTCGACGACGATGTTTTGTACCCGATGTTTTAGGACTGCGATGTTTTCTCCCACGATGTTTTGTAGCACGACGTTTTCTCGCCTTGCGTTGTTTTCTCCGCGACGTTTTCGTCCGCGATGCTTTTGCTGCGATGTTTTCGGCTGTAACCAAACTACGCATATGCGTTTCTTCCAGCATCGTTTTTAAAATATGTGTAATGATTTTTCGTTCGTGCTCGTAGTTCATGTTTCTTCAGCTAGTAAAAATTTTCGCTTTTAAAATAAGCAATTTTTCATCGGTTATCGATCTACACTTATGCATTTCTTCTACCTTTGATTTTAAAATACAACGGATTTTCATGCATACTCATGGTTCACATTTCTTCGGCTAATGAAAATTTTCGTTGTTAAATCATAACGGATTTTATTGCAAACATTTATCATGCTTCCTATTTTCAATCTACCGTCAACTGAAAAGAAAGCTATAGTTTTCTCCAAGAAAATGGTATTTTAAGCAAATTTGCAAAATAATTTTAAAAGAGCATAGCTTTAGAATTTCCGATACAGTCTCGTGCGCTGGAGATAATTTTTTTTCGCTGTGCAGTGTTGCCATTGCTCGTTTTGAAATCGTTGAGTTTGTTAATCAAAAATTTGTTAAGTCTTGCAAAATATGAAATCGGTAATAAAACAAATTCCAAATTAGGGCTTCCAGATGCCCATATTCGGTGGAGATTATGTACCGCTGTTTTATCCCAGTGCGAGAAATGTGCATACATTTATGCAGATTCTTTGTTGAACATATAACAATATTATATTTTCTTCTCCGTAATTCAGTCGCGAATAAACGCACTTGAGACTTGAAATAAGAACTTAAGAACAGGAGAACCTAAAACACACAATACATTCAAAATGAGAAAGGAAAATAATAGAAGTTAAAAACTTAATTAATTATACAGTACGTTCTAAATGAGAAAACAAAATAACAGTAATAAAAAACTTAATTATTCATTATTTAATTTATTTAACTATAATACAAGGCTCTAATATTTGGTGGCAACAATTTGAAAAGTGAAACGCCACAAACTGCTAAAACAAAATTAATAGGCTTTCGGCCCAAATATTATATACAGTAAGACCCCGCTTAACGCTGTTTCGGTTTAGCGCTCTTTTATTTCAACCCGGGGATTCCACGAAATCGCTCGCAGCATACGGGGATTCCCCGAAATATTATGCAGCGATAGGTTTCAAATACATATCCGAAAGAGTGTACTTGTATTTCTTGTTTGGTGCGGTATTGTACAGACATATTTTGAAGGGGTAAATGTGGAAGATGTCGAAGAAATAATTCAAAAAGCAGCGGCTAGTCTTTCTAAATGATGAGCTCAAGGAATGAACTGAACAGAAGAAAACAAAATGTTGACAGCAGTGATTCAGAAGAAGAGTAAAAAGAACTTTCGATGGCGTTTGTAAAAAGGAGTTTGTCTACCATAACTGAAAATAATGGATCAATTCATTGAAAATGATCCGAATTTTGATAGGAGCTCAAAAGTAAGGCGTGGTGTTAGAGATGCTTTATCCGTTTATTGAGAACTTTTAAGAGAACAACGCAAAAGAAAAAGGCAAACAACATTAGATGCTTTTGTCACAAAAAGCAGAACACTGAAAACTCGGAAGGCTAACTAAATATGACTGACTGAGAATTTATTTGTTTTTTTTTTAAGAATATTCGTTTTGTTATTTATTATATTTGTTTTTATTTTTGCAAGAAATAATAATGTGGTATTAATTTGGGCTTTAAGAAATAAATGTTTGGTTTTATTTTTATTAAAAAAACATACTTTTTAAATTTAATACCTAACGAATTTCCTAGCCATCTTCCCCTAACCCCAATATTTACATGTAAAGATAGCCTCGTTTAGCGCTGTTTCGCATTACGCTCTACTTTGATGGAACGTATCCCCCGCGTTAAGCGGGGTCTTACTGTACTATAATAAATTCAGTACTTTAAAACTTACAATTTCGTTTGAAAATAAAAGCATAATAAGTATTTTGCAATGAAAGAACACTATATTGACACAGTGCAGTTACAGTTGTTTCTCGCATATGCGCAAATCGGTAACCGATTTTTCTCGCTAATGCTGAAATACGTCAAATGAACGTTCTTGCCAAGACCGCTGCAAAACACACGTACCAAAATTTCTATTTACCCAAATGATCAAAAGTACACATACGTTTTTCCAATTACACCTTTTCGTTTATAACTTAATATAGGTACTTACGTATTACCCGTCTACCATTAGCAGAAATTTCGATGATGGTCGCTATTCTCCAGTTGTTACTAATTCTAAAGGAGTTGGTCATCCATAATTGAACTAAATCGCGTTCTTTGGCCAAGGCGGTATATCGCGTAAGTACCTTAATATATTCCAAGTTGAAGAATTTCTTATTATTTCTTCATGTAATATAATTCTTCATTACGCTGTGAAAAACTATACATTTTTTTTTTTTATTTTATAGAACTGTATTCCGTAAATGCTTTACATTTAAGAAGTAGTTCATGACTTTTTAATCACATAGTTCTTTAACTAAGCAGAATTAGTGAACTAATCATTTAAAGCCGCAAAAACGGTATTCTAACATTGAATGTACTATTCAAATATCATTTCTTTTAATCAATGCTTCTGCACTCTGCCTGCATGTAAAGTTTGCACGTATAATATAAAATATAATGATCCGAAGCTGTTGATAGTAACCACGGAAATATTGCTTATAATAAATTTGTTAAATTGTTATTAACGAATTTAAAATAACTAACGGAAAATGCTGCAGTATTTTCTGCAGTCTATGGCTTACAGAAGTAAAACAGTGAAATAATTATTTGCACTGAGATAAAGAGGAGAAACTGATGTAAAGATGTTACTGAATACTAAAGAGGTGTTTTATGTATTCATGTTTCTAAGCTTTGTTTTTTTTTTTTTTTCCTTTATTTTATAAAGGCAGACATTATGGTTTCATATTGTTGCTTACCTACGGGTTCGTAATGGATTGAATGCACAAAGAACCGACGATAGCTTTTTTTTTGGGGGGGGGAGAAAAGAAACACTTTACAGTTCAGAAACGTTCCACAAAAGTAATCGTACAGCTCTTCTTAGTATAACGGAGTATAGTTACTACTTCAGACTACTTAGAATGTTAACCATAACGCAATTCAAAGTGCACCTAAAGAGCGAAACTCGCACGGAGATCTTCTGTTTTTCGATATTACTGGAAGGCACGTATTGTTAAAGTTACATTTAAGGGCCGGACACTGTTACAGAGAGATATAAGGATTGATTACAGTTATTAAATTATTGTATCAATTACAGTTATACAGAAACTAAACGAAATTGGCGATAAAATTAGTTACCAAAACCATCACCAGCTTGGCGATATCTCGCCAATTTAACGAGATAGCCATTCACCTCAATGCTAAATAGATTTGCTCCTGTAATCTTATTTTTGCGGCATATCTTCGCTTTTCTTAAAGCCGTTTTATGTTGTATTAGACAAAGTTCATAACACTATAAAGAAAGTTATGAAATTTAATTGTTCTAGACGAAGAAATTAAGTAAAAATACACTGTTGACCATTAAAAGTGCTGCACTGTTAATGAAGCGCAAAATAAACCTAAGCTTTACATGAAAAGCGCTCGGAAAACTGAGTTTATTCTGTCCTTTTTTTTTCCCTGTGCTTGTGTTTGTATGTGCATGTTGGAGGCATGATGTTATGCTTCATACGAGAAGAAGAAACCCATACCAGCACGTCCCAGAATTCGATCATGGGCGCATTTAGACGACTGGGACTGCGGATTATCGTATCTCGGAAATATTCCTGGCATCTTCGGAAATACTGCTGATCGAAATTGATTCACTGTTATGAGAGTTTTCAATCAATTGATCAGTATTGGCCACACAGAGCGGCGTGTGACTTCTCAGGGGCTTACATTCACGAATGCCCGAAAGGATAGACATCTAATCATCATCGTTGTTAGAAACAGTGCAAATATATCGTGCTTTGGGTCTGGAAATTTGGTGTATTATAGTACACTAAGTATCCGCGCATGATCTGCAGTGTGTGTATGCTACGCCTCGGATTGCCAGCTAAGCAACTATTTCTCCCGGTTCCATTGGTGCTACAGCACAGTAATCAGCTCCTAAGAATGGTGCGCTTGCTTTGACCTTGTCTTTTCTGCCGAGTCTTGTTTTAGCTCATATCATCATGACGGCCATATGGGAGTGACTATAACAGACGAATGTTAGAAGCTTGTGTTCTTCATTGACATTTCGGCTTGGCAACATTGAGTATATACCCCATTCACCTCTAGTCCACATATTACTTTGACCAGCCACCCTTACAATACTTAAGTTTTAATGCCAGTGTCTATGCCATAACTTCAGAGCCTCCATTTAGTTCCACCTTTTAATGGGGCAGTGCCATACAATGCGCTGGCCACATTCTTCTACGTTTTCTTCAACATATACACTCCTTTCTTGCCCGACGTGCTCTCCAAATCTGTAACCAAATGTATTGTTGAGAGAGACTGGCAGGACAATACCTGCCAACAAATACGCCAGATGAATAGTGGCGCAGGACTGAAACTACATTGACAGCAACATCCATCAAATCAACAAATGCTATCTAAATTCTGTTTAACTTTACGCACAGCCGTAAAATAGTTGTTGTTTTTTTAACAAGCGTTGATACTCGGGATACTGAATTTTGCATGTCTGTATCTGAAAATGTAATCATTTTACCATTGTTAACTGCTTTTCTTCATGACGTATCAGTATCAATGGCCAGCAATATAATATTGATCTCAGTGTTTTGATTAATCGACTTTTTCCTACATTTCTTTGAAATGTTGAAAATTTATTAACGGTAATTTATCTTATTCTATTTTTAAAAGTTGTCGATATGCTTTATGGTGTTAACCTCTTTACATAAATAAATAATTAATAAATAAGTTGATTATTTGCCTGCATGTGATTTTTTAGGTTCTTCAAGAGCAAGGTTTGGGCAAATATTGTGATCCAGAGTTTGTGAAAGCTACTCAGAGGGAGCTCGCGGAAGCCATTAATATGACTCCAGAGGAGTTGGACAGGGCGGCCCATAGACTCCTTCAAGCCGAGAGTCGCAGTAGCAACCCTTATCTTTACCAGCCAATCAGTTCCGAAGAGGACAGCCCATACCATGTGCCAAAAACTGGCCTTCGATCAAATGAAGGCTTTCTCTTGAGCTTACAAGAAGATAACAGACCTCATAGTCAACAAAACTACCATACGGAGAGTGTCTGGGACAATAAGCATTTTGGAGACACTAGGTTATAGCATTTTAATTGAATTTGTACATTAAATGGACAGTTCTTTCATACCCGTCCTGTTCCGTGTGCATACCAAGCGATGCTCTTTGAGCATCCTCATTATAGGGAATGAGGGCCGAAGTTATGGACTGTCTTCGTATCCAGTGCCTTCTACAACCTCTTATTAAGGGAACAGACCAGAAACCTGTTCAGTCCCTTATCTGTATATTTATGACTTGGATCCTCTTTTTCAACACATTTAATTAAATATTGCCTGAAAGGAAAGATGGTAAGTTTTGCTTTCATCTTTGTAGTTATTTTGATAATTAATCATTTAAGAATATGAACTCCTAAGATAATTCTTTAGGTCATCTCAGAAAAGAATTTCTGAAGCTTGTATCTGCCTTAGTTTATTATCTTTCAAAAATCTGTGATCTTAGGGACGAGAAAATTATTATGATTTTTTATTCTGTAAAAAATGAAATTCGGAAGGAATGGAAATGTGTAACTTTTAAGTGTTCATATTTGTAAACCAGAAATTAAATGTAATTATTAGACAAGTCTTAACCATTGTACTTTAGAATTGTAATAAGTGCCAGAGCTTTGATTTACACTTACTGAGCTATTTATTATCATCGTCTTGCTCCAAAGAGATGATGGTTTAATAGAAACGTACTGATCGCATTTAAGTGTAATAAGGATTATCTGTTAAATGACACAAATTAGCCTTGCTATCATTTCTGTTATTCATTGTAGTTGTAGCATACAGATGAGAGCAGACATCAAGTTTAACGTTTTTCCATTAGCCGAAGTTCACAGTTAAATTGGTTAAATACGAGTAGTTCGAAATGTAAGCATTATTTAATCATTTGTCATTTTTAGTGAAATTAATATCGTTTAAATATATTAAAATTTTAATAATACATAAGCATTTTATAAAATGCAAAATTCTTTCAAAAGAAAAAAAAGTAACTTACATAGTGAAGGTCATTAGTTACAGCTAATATTTATTTGTCAGATACTAAGGTTTATGAAAGTTGAATAATTTACATCACAAAGAAATACTGTTAATTTCGAATATACCTAGCACATAAACAATGCACTATATAATGCATAGATACAAATGCTGTAGCCTCCGTAACATAACCATCTTAAGAAGCTTACAAGGAAAGTTCAGCTCCAAAACCAAACAGACACTGAAAATAATCTAACTAGTGAAATTAATGTCTTACTAATTAAATGCTGTCAACTCGTAATCAATAATAGCACAGACAAAGAAACTTAACCGTGGACGAGCAATTCTTTCTAATCCTAAAATGGAAGCAGCAAAAAGCAATTCTTTTTAAGATGCAGTTAAGAATAACACTCTCTTGGCCGTGTAATTAAAACTTGCATATCTTTCTGGATTTGGAGGAAATCTGGCACGACCGAAAGCAAGAATAACAGGCAGCATAGCAACTAAAAATTAACTTATACCAAATCACAATAAATGTCTCAATGTAGGATTATTTTCAGAATGGTTCGTCTAATTGCAAGTAAATATATTTTTTGAAATTTAAAGTTTTCTCTTTACTTAAGAAGCATACCAACAGTATGAAAACAGCCGTATCCGAAATCATCTCGCCTTCACCCTAACGTGTTGTTTGTCAATAAACGTTTGTTGAATTTGTAGCAATGTCAACAGCTAGTTAGATGGTCTTACTACAAAGCAGTTCAAATACTGAAAAGTATGGCATAGGTGCATTTTTGCGATAGCGGTAAGTTCTTCAATTCCCATAAAACAGATCTACGATCGAATCCCAAGGTTGTTTACAATCTTCAGGGACATAGGGAACTTGTAACATTGCACTTCCCCTCTGTGCTAACAGATGGCGACACAGTCACATAGCAGCAACAAATCGCCAAGTGAATGTAGCTCCGGGACTCATATTTCACGAGTGCACATCAACGTAGCCACTGAGGGAGGGGTTTCGAAAATGGACCAGTGAGCTTCTATTGCTCTTGTGACGCTAAATCTAATCTACATGTGAGCGTATGTTGTTTACGTTTTAATTTGCATTTGTTTCAAAGTTATAAATGTATGGCGTAATAGTAAAAAAATCTCGTAGTGCTTTCGTTTTATGAGTTTAATTAATCGCTGATATTTATCTTTTGCGACTTTTATCACGCATTAATAGTTGGATTGATGTTCATGGCATATTATCGCTCTTTACATCAAGAAAATGACTCAAGGTACAATGAGCCTCGAATATTATGCATTTACTGACACCTGTGGATTAAGAGAATTCAAGTGCATAGTTTTTTTTTTTTTTTTAAATTGAGCTGAGAAGGACTGGAAGTGTTACAATGAATCTAGTGTTTTCTTATTTCAGTGCTTGTATTCTTCTGATTTTTAAAGTGTAAGATTCAGAATACATATTGTGTATAACCTGATTATATTCATTGTTAACATTAAAAGTTATATGTCAATAAATTGAATATATTCGTTGTGAATAAGATTAATTCATTCTGTTGAGTATTTCTTGTGTAGACAATATATTTAACAGTGAGCAGTTATTGAATGTGAAATTTAACACACTAAATGTATACAAATGCAAATTAGTAAAGTTCACTTTGAATAAAATTCTACATTGGCTATTATTACAGAACATCTTTTTCATATAGACTGCAATAAAAAGTGCTGACTTCTATTTACATATATAATTGGTGTAAATATTTTTCTCATATGCGCAGTTTTATGTAAAGAATAGCATTTGGGCTCAGATGTTAATTACATATTTCTTTCTTCATCTTATTTACCGTTTGTTAAGTAATATTTCACATGGATATTTTTTCGGAGTGTCCAACATGGATTTTTATTTATTTCAAATGCTTTCAATCAGGTAGTGAAATCTTCACAATTGCTTATATTTGATCTAACTTGGGAATGAAAATTTTCAGAAGAAATCGACGATGCTTTAATTAATTTGTACAGAAAATTGCATGGCAAAATATTTTCAACCATCTTGCTTAAATCTTAAAGCATGTGAAGGGTCATGTGACATGGCAGAAATATTACTGGATGTCCACTGGTCCATCCTAGACGCCGCTCCCTCGGTGGCTACACAGATGTGCACTTGTGAAATTATGCCTCCGGGACCATAATAAAGGTCAAAATCGAGCATTGTCACTGTGATGGAATCATGCTAGAACATGATTGTCACTGTGTGAGATCAAAAACTTGATATCATTCTGTATGGGAATTTTATTAAACACTTAGGAACTGAGAGGCAAACCTTAAATTGTTATTTTGGATGATGTATAACAAACCATCCTCTATTTAAAAACTTGCAACATGTAGTCACTTGAATTATTTTCATAATCCTGAATTCAGCTATCAATATCGATGATGTTATTTTGTAAAAGGCAGCAATCGATGCAGGCAGCGTCTTTGCCTGGAATCTAACCCAGGTCGAACTACCAGCATTCAGTGACATTACCACTCGGTCGCAGGTGGGTCTGGAATGGAAAGAGAGGCAGTTGCATTTTTAGTATTTTTTAACTGTAATATTCCCCCATCAGAAATTATGGACACAGTTCTAAAATTCTAAAGTTTAACAGTTCTCCTTCACAGTTGTACTGCAGTCTCAGTGATCTTATTACTAGTAGCCTCGAGAAAGCCTTAATCGCTTTAAAATGTCTATATGAAGACCCAGAGTGATCCCGAGATGATGTTGATTCTTCTTCACCAGCCCTTATAAAGCTCTTACTATCATTCAATTTAGTATTTACTCAAGAGAAAGTTGCAGATTTGCAACAGTTTTTAAGTTGGCTAGCTCAGGGATTCTTTTGCTTTATGTTGTCCTTTCTTTCGTTATTTATTTATTTAGCACTGCGTAAGATGTTTCTCTCAAAAAACGAATATGTATAATGCATACTGGAAGTTTTTCTTACAAGGCTGTTTTTCTGGAGTTTCATCTTTAGGGCTGTGTTTCACATCTTAATTTATACTAATGGGCTAAAATTTTCATATAGTTTGTGTGGCAGTTTATCATACAATAATAATCGCTGCCGAAAAAATTAAGTTTTATCTTATCAATTGTTTTTTTTTACGAACTTCGATGATAATCATTTTTGGTAATTTAGTTCTCAACATGCATTTGATCTTTTTTAACATATATTGCTTTACTTTAGAAACTAACGGTAAGTTTTCAAGACACAGAAGGCGCCTCTTAATGTGGTCACGTCTGTCCACAACTATTTTCATATTAACCGAAGGATAACATTAAATGATAAGAAAAAAATATATTTCAAATTAGCTATAGAATTTAGCTAATTTACTATAAGTAGAAACATATAAATACGTACTTTTACGGCATTTTAACTATAAAGAAAAGTCGTTACTAGTGGCTATTTGCAAGCGTTATGCAAAGGTTCGTTTATGATACCTGTGTAAAGTTTCTGGAAATTATTTAACTGATGCTATATTCCTAATCTTTGATACTTAGAGGGCGTACTTTATACCAGGGTTTCTTATACTTTTTGGTGTTAGGACCCCCTAATATTTACGAAACTTTTGAGGGACCCCACAAGCATTTCGCAAATCCGACACACACGTGAGTGAAACTATCAGTTTCTTTACTTGTACTATGCTGTTTTAGGTCATTGACTTTAATTTTTTAAGTAAAATGAACGTTTCTATTATCAAAAAAAAAAAAAATGCGTCGAAACGTTTTCGTTTTTCTTTGTCTGTATTGTCTTCTCTTTATCTATTTTCAGATATATTATGTAAAAATGTTTGGTTATTATAAAACTGTCATAATAAGTTAAAGAAATATCAGAATTGCTAAATTTTTGGCGACCCCCTACTGCAAGTCCCGCGGCCCACAGCTTAACCAGTTAACTGTGATTGACGAGTATACTCGTCATGGTGAAGTGGCACGATTTTGTGCATTGAGGAGTATACTCGTCATGCGTATAAAGCAGTGTAAGCAACGCGCACAGAAAAAAAGAAAAATAATAACAATGAAACCGGAGCTAGTGACTGATTATAATAAAAAATGGGTGGAGTGGATATGAGCGATGGAATTATGATAGCGTACTCGACAGCAAGAAAACGACTCAAACTACTACAAAAGGATATATCTCCATTTCTTAGACATTATGTGTTTGAATGCATTCATATTATATAAAAAAATAATGGAACATTATAGTGTATCAACTTTTTGCTCAAATTTATTGAAGACACTTTTGCGACGTATCCAGTTGAAAGAAATAAATCTACACAAACTCGGCCATTTAGACCTAATATAAGCCAATTAGGCGGGAATCATGTTCCGGATTATATACCCGGAACATCGAAAAAATACAACCCTACGCGAAGGTGTTCGCATTGCTACAAACGTAAGATCAGGAAGGAATCGCGTTACTGGTGTTCGATTTGCAAAGTCCCATTGTGTATAGTACCCTGTTTCGCTGAATATCACTCCACAGCAGGAATTTAAATTCTTACTTTTATATGTATAATATTTAATTTATTGCCTTTTTAGTTTAATATGTATGTAATGTGTGCTTATGTTAACCAAACAAGTAAATATTAGTAATAAAATTTTCAGTTTTTATAAAATAAACCCGTCTTTTTCATCCAATATCTTACCAGCGCAACTTACTCTGTGATTGACGAATATACTCGTCATGGCTCGATTCTGTCCATACAAAACGGTGCGCACTCTTAAACGAGGGCGCCACAGTTAACTGGTTAAGAAACTCTGCCTTATGCCAACATTTATACAGAATTCACCGATTTTATCTTTATGTTCTTTAGAAATTTTATTACATATGTGCTTAGATTTGTTTCAAAAAGCTATTGGCAAATATCTTCTGTTTGAACAAAAGAGACTTGTATCTGAAAGCTCTCAAAATCCGCAGTTATTCAAAATCTGCGCCGAACTAAACAAAATTGCCTAATTTTTAAATGTTTGACTACAATAAAAACCAAGCTATTTGGTTAATTAATTTCTTACTTGATAACATTTTTCAATCACCTTGGTAAATCTTTAAATTTATTTTGACCTTATTTGGAGAATTTACTTCGGTCTGGAGAGTTCATTCTTAAATATTTTAATAACATTAACCGAATTGTTGATCACAGTAAGCGATGTATTTTCTGTGTTTTCGTATACATATGGGTGGGACTTCGGTTATACAATAACATCATTCGGATAATGTTATCGAATCATCATTGGAATGGCACATACAGTAGACGCCACGATCACATTAAGCGGCGTCTACTGTATGTGCCATTCCATTGATAAAATGCCAGTCAACAATAATGTACTAAACTTTTTTAGCTTCAAAATGTACTTAAATTTTTGATTGGAAGAATTCATGTGCTGTGAATTAACTTTAACTTGTTAACTTTTTTAACTTTTCTTTTACAGGTGTTGGGAAATGCAATCCATTTATTCCTGCGGAATCTAAAGATTTCGGCCCCTAACTACCCCGAAATTTCCGTTTCAAGTTGTGAAGTTACTGATAGCTCTCCTTCCCATTAGAAAATGCTTTTCTTATGTAGAGTTTTGTTTGATCATATTGTGAAGAATGTGTTTCTCATTTTTCATTTGCTTTTAAATATATTTTACACAGATTTTAAAGCTGCAAGAACTGTTATTGGCTTCCAAAATTATTTCACGATTTTCTGATACTGAAATTTCGCATTGAAACTTAATCAGCTCCAAATCAACTGTGAAGCTATACTTTTGAATGTATGTATGTGTGTGAATTATGTAATAATTCATGTATGTGCATATACATATGTATGTATAATATACATGTATGTATAATATACATGTATAATATACATGTATAATATACATGTATAATATACATGTATGTGCATATACATATGTATACATAGATTTGCATGTAACTTTATCACACACGCATGTCAATATCTAAAAGCATATGATATGCAAAATATTCGCATTTTTTAATCGAATTGCTAATGATTGAGTCCAGTTATAAAACTTACCCTCGCTTTGGAAACCAAAATGCCAGTTTTTATTCATTTTTATATGTCTTTTTACTTATTACCTCATTTCTAAGTGGAACTTATTATAGTGTTTCTCCAGCAAGGATCTTTGCAATCATTTTGTCGTCATTCTTTTTTAAAGTCATTTGCAGTGAATCAGTTTTAATTATTATACATTATCGGCTTGGAGAAATCGGAGCTAATTACAAAAATAAAATTTTCACTAGATTTTCAAATAAAAGTTTCATGCTGTTTGAATATTTTATAGTTCTACACGTGCTTTGTTCTGTCAAATTGCTTTCATTTCTTCGCCTTAAATATATACAGCAGTTTTAAAAAAATTCAAAAGCATGAACTTACACATCTCTGATAAAACAGGATTTCCCTTCAAACATTCATCTGTGATAGAATTGAAAATGCTCAAGGTTTGCAGTAAGGTTGAAAATAATTGAAAAACTGTACTGTCTACCTTATCTTTCCTGTTTCACCATGCCAAAGATATGATAGCTTCAAAATCATCTAAAAATTCGTCTACTCAAAACGCTCAATATTTGTTTAGGTAGTTTTTTAACAGTAATCTCTATCCCACATAATTGTCATTTATTAGTAAAACTGCGAAAACTATCGTAATTATTTAAAGAGATAAGAACATTATCTCCTTAAACAATTCTCCCTAGAAAAATATTTTGTCAGGAAAAGTAGATTTTTGTAAGTTCCTTATACACGATTAAACTCGATCAATATTTCCTGTTGAAATTTTAGAGAACTGTTGCAGTTTAACATATTTTTATCTATTTTAATTGCCTTAAAGTTATATATTACAAATTTTTCTCTCGCCATTTTTAATAAACTCCGTGTATCCATCAATTCTACAATTGAATAAAATAAGAAATTATATTATGTATTTTCAGATTTCTTAAAATTCACAGAAGACAGATCCTGTGATCTATCTAAGAGAACAAATTTTGAATCATCAGAAGAGTCAATCAAATTTTCTAGAACTGTTGGTAGATTTGTTAGGAGTGGTTGAACAAAGACATATGTTGTACTCTTGAAATTTTAATTTACATATATTTTTATTAGTTCTTCCTTTGTTGCGCTGGATGGTCCGCCCGTTTTACTGTGTTCGAACAGAAGTTTCCAAGCAGCGAAAATCTTGTTGAAATGAATGTGCCTAACCATGCCTATTTATATAATAATTCATGTATATTCCGTTGTTGCATGTAATATTAGAAAAATATGTTAAAATTAAGAATTGTCTCTTGTATATGCGTTATTTGTTGACCAGTTTAGATCTTTGTCATGACTTTAGAAAACTTAAAATTTCGGCCCCTTATTTCTCACATTTCCTGTTATTATTCGCTTTCCGAGTTAACAGTATGATTTTTGTTGTGTATTTCCTATTTCATTTCTATCATTCATTTCTGTTTGTGAGAATCTCTTAAATTTTTATGTGAAAAAAAATTATGAAATTTTTAAACTTTCAATTTAGTAGTATTTTAATGAATTAATGTTTTAAATAGAATGCTTTATTTTTATCTGTTCATATTGAATATAAATAGAAGATAGTTTTTAAAAAAAATGAAAAGATCTTTTTTGGTAAGTTTTTAATTGCTTTAGGATTCATAAAATTGTATTCAAATTTATAGTTGTAGCTTAACGAAGACTTTTTTATGTTCTTAACTAACACCAGAATAAAATAAACCAAAGATTTAATTTTTGTGAAAGATTTAATCTCATAAGGTTTCTTTTATTTCACAGTAAATTAACGTTTGCAGTGCAAACTGAATTCTGTGCATATGTATTATTATGGTCTTTATTTGAATCATGTATGTAAAGGAAACTTGTCTTCATATCTATTAAATATATTTCAGAAACTCTTATTTGCTTACTTTCTTTTCAATTTGTTTTCAGTTTTACATTTAAAGGTAACCTTCGTATGACACGGTCGTCAAGTTTCTAAAAAGATGAAGCGTTATGTGAACTTGTGTTATGCGAACCAAAGAACTAAATAGGGCTATTTCCTTTTCGTAACAATTAAAAGAAAGATTTACAGGTATTCAAAAGTAGACGGAATGATATGCATGTGAGCATTCCATAGTTACGTGTTATGCCATGTATAAGGTCTTGTTAGCTTAGTATTTCCCGCGTTTATTTGGCAGACCGAAGACTATGGCACTCTGATTTGCTTATGTTCCTACTCCAGCGTCCTGAGGTTTTTAGTGATATGCTACTGGAAAAAATAAATAATAGATGTAAAGTTTTGTGTTCTGTTGAGAAAAACTGCTTCTGAGACCGTTGTAATGCTTTAGCAATTTTTTTTTAATGATGTTTAACATGGATACAACTGCTACAACTTGGATATCAGGGGATGAACAAAATGATCTTCGAAAGACAATCTTTCTGAATGCGAATTTTCTTCTATCTCCATGGATAAAGAAAGACCTCTAAGAGTAATTCTGTGGATAAAAAGTAATTCATTGTTGTAAATTTGTTGCACAAGTTGAATAGTATTCCAAGACAAGAGTTCAAGAATTATTTCTGTGTTTTCTATTTTGTTGCGTGCGTACGGGTTCGTTATGAAATGAATGCACAAGTCCGATGAAAAATGAACCAAAATTTATTATTATCACAACAAAAATGCTTAAATTTTCTCAAATTATCATGCAGTATTACAATATCTCACAGTAGTTATCTTTTAACTACTCAAATGTCCAATAGAACCTAATTCAAAACAGCTAAAGAAAGCTAATCCGCGAATTCGCTACAATCAACAAGAGCAGTTTTCTAAACAACAAACTAAGCAACTACTACAAACTGAAATGTTTTCCTCCTTCTATAAAATTTTAAAATCACGCGCTAGAATTTTCCAGTACTTTCTCGAAATCAAAAAAGAGATATTTATTTATTTAATGCACGCGCTCTTGTAATTTTACCGGCTTAGCTTTCTTTTAATATTCGTCACGCGCTGCACTGCGCGATAAATAAAACCATTTAATTTATAATTGAACTAACATTAGCTTTTTAAATACCAAATTCGTAACACTGCCCCCTTCCCAAGGACTGCACGTCCCGGGCAGTACAATCCCTGGACAGGAAGCTAAACTTACAACTGTGGCATAAATGCATTAATAAGCATTACATTACAATAATAAACAACATGAACAATAAATGCAATAAAAAAATTAATAAAATGCTATCAAATACAAATCAAATACTAAATGCAAATCAAATACTAAATACAAATCAAATCAAATACACATTTAAAAACAAAAAGGACCATGGTCTTATACTATTTACAATTATTTACATTACGTACTATGGCCATAGTAATGAGCTAACCTGTCGTAATGAACGACTTTAGGTTTAGAGTTCGAAGACTTACGGATCCGAACCACGACGTCATTCAGCCTGTTTAGGACTGTGTACGGACCATCCCAAGGTGACTGTAATTTAGGCCTGAGTCCTTTTCGTTGAATAGGGTTCCACAGCCACACCTTGTCTCCTTTGTTGGATCTATGCCCAGTAGAGCTCTCGTGTTGTATCTTGTCTTCACTTTCTCAGTCGCCAAGTTCACTCGCTTTCGTGCGGAACGGTGCATCACTTCAAAACGGGCCTGGACATCTTGGATGTGTTCCTCAGGCGATGAAGGCGCATCCGTAGGGCGATCAAACAGGCGGTCACAAGGCAGACGAAGGTCTCGACCGAAGAGCATCTGCGATGGAGAATAGCTGGTAGTCTTGCGTTTCTTTTCGACCCTAGTATGATTTCGGCGGCAGCTTCCGAGCTGGATCTTTCGGACAAGGCGTCGGCATTTCCAGGCGAGGATCCCTTTTGAGGATGGATAGTCATGCCATCAGATGCTGAAAGCAGTTTGTTGTTTTTTTCAAGTCTAAGGAAAAATTGTATTTCCTTAAAAAGTCCAATCCGAGTATGCATGGATCTGTGAATATCCGCCACATATGCCGTGTGATGGTAGGCGGCACTTCCAAACGTGATGTTTACGTTTAACTTCCCAGTTATGTCGATCTTGTCACCAGACGCAGTCTGAAGGGTAACACAGGATGGCGTCCAAATAAGTTTATCTTTAAACTGTTCAGCTAAATCTTTCCTAATGATGGTAACATTAGCTCCTGTGTCAATGATCATATTGCAAGGAACTCCATCGATATTCCCATTAATGGACAGTCCGTTACTGTTGCCACTCACTGTATAAATTTTAAGAGCTTTAAAACAAGGTTTTTCATTATCTGGCAACCTCCGTTCCTCGATATGGTCACTAATTTGTTTACTGCGTTGTTGCTGGGAAATGGTCTTATTTTCCGTACCTCGGGGTGTTCTGCAGTTTCTTCGTATCGTATGTGCCTTCAACTCCGCAGTTCCAGCACTTTAGAATTAGTTTCTTTTCACTTCTGTTCCGTCTCAAGCCACTGACTTGTCTGGTAAAATCATCTGCTTTATATTCCGTACCCTGGGGTGTTCTGCAATTCCGTCTTAGGTGACCTTCACTACCACATCTCCAACACCTTAGAGCCACTTTCTTCTCGCTCCTACTCCGTATCAAAGCGTCGACTTGTCTGGCTAAATCATCTAAACGAGCCATCAGTTGATCCACTGGCTCATGGACTCGCACAGCTCTAACTGGGTAGCGATCTCTACTAGTTGCTTGCTGGGCTGCCTCGAACTTCATGGCGTACAACAGAGCGCTTTTTATAAATCCTTTACATCTGCCATTCGAAGAGCTTTCTGTATTTCAGGGATCCCGGATGCCGTCGATGAAATATTGCAGCGACAGGATTTCTCCTTGTTTCTGTCGGGCACTCCGAAAAGGCGACAGCCTTTCAACATCCGCGTGGCGAGCTCCTGAAGTGTTTCGGTGGCTTCTGTTGACGGGATTTTAATTGAAGCCTGCTGTAGTCTTTTAAACACTTTCTCGCCAAAGCGCAGCTCCAATGCGCCGGATAGAGCTTCGAAATCTAAGTCTCTGGTTTTTTCGGGAAGCGTCTGCAGGATATCCGCTGCGTCTGCTCTCAGAGAAGCGGCGAGATGACAGGCCTTAGCTTGGGAATCCCATCCATTCGCATCCGCCACGATAGAAAATTGTGTCTTATACACCTTGCCAGGAGGTCTTCCCATCATATGTGGATAGCTTCAGAGATGGACGAGCAGGCATCGGTAAGAATTTAAAATCATCACTCTGCTCCCTGCCGTCGCTACGAATTTCTTTAAAGTATCCATTTCTTTGGCAACTGCAGAAACTCTCATCAATTTGTTGTTCGATTTGGTGTTGGACGGCACAAACTCTTCCTTCAATTCGTTCCTCCACAGAAACTCTCCCTTCTATTTGTTCTTTGACCGAAGAAACTCTTTCTTCAATTTCCCAACTTTATTTCACAGTCTATTCTGCCTTCCATAGCCTCAAATTTTTTTCTATTACGCAGGTAATTTCTCTTTTCATTTCTCTTGACCTGCTTCATCATCGTCTTAACGGATTTCATCTCCACGGATTCCTGTCCCTTTCATTTCTTCCTTAACGCCTTCTGTCCCCTTTAATTTCTTTTCCTTTCATTTCTTTTCCTTCTTTTCCTGAAGATTTCAACTTTCATTTTTCTTTAAATGCAAAGGCTGATAACCCTTAATTGCTCTTCCATCGCTCTTGTTATTGGCATTCAAATCCCACTTCTG